CACTCCTCAGCGGGGAAGGCCATACCACAATCCTTTCTCCCTTCTCTTGGGATTTTGGGCATGCATACAGGGCAGCTAATGAGATTTAATCTCCATGCCATCTGCTGGCCCTATTTCATTAAAAAATAAATAAATATGGGACCAGCAGTTGGCGTAATGGCTATGTCGCTGGACCCCTAGGTAGTCAACTGTGGTTCGAGTCCCGGACCCGGTGGGTTAAACTCATGCCAGGTGCACATACACACTGTAGCAAAAACCTCTTTAAAAAGAGAGAGAGATATTTTTTGGGACCAGCAGGTAGCGTAATGGCTATGTTGCTGGACTCCCATGTAGTCGACCGCGGTTCGAGTCCCGGACCTGGTGCCTTAAATTCACACTGGGTGTGTGTGCGTGCATGCCCAGGATGCTGAGAGGACAATAGAGGAGAATGGAAGAGAAGGGATTGTGGCATGGCCATCTTCCCTGGGGGGGTGATTTCTCCCTCTCTGTCTCTCTCTGTCTGGCTGGCTAGTGCACGCACCCTATAGCATAAACCTCTCCAAAAAAAAAAAACAAAAAAAAAAAAAAAAAAAAAAAAAAAAAAAAACAAAAAAAAAGAAAAAAGAAAGAGATTGTTGCTATAGGGTGCATGAGCTCACCAGAGAGACAGAGAGGAAGCAGAAAATCATTTCCCGAGGGGATTCCACACCACAATCCTTTCTACTCCATTCTCTTGGGATTTTGGGCACACACACACACACACACACACACACACACACGAGAGAGAGAGAGAGAAAGTGAGAAAGCAAGCTTCCAGGTCTGGGACTCGAACTACTATCAGCCATGTAAGCCCATCACCCTAACCACCATGCCACCTGCCAGTTCGTAATTGGTTCATCTTTTCCAGACCATTTGTGCTGTGCTTTGATATTTGAATTTCAAGTATTTTCCATGATACTAAATATTATTCTTTTGCCTTTTCTCCTAATCATTTACAAACGTGAAAAACATTCCCGGGCCAGCAGGTGGCATGGAAATTAAGGCAGATGGATCCCACAAAGCAACTTCATAGGGACCAGCAGTTGGCATAATGGCCATGTCGCTGGACTCCCACGTAGTCGACTGCGGTTCGAGTCCCGGACCCGGTGGCTTAAACTCACACCAGGCACGTGTGCGTGCGTGCCCAAGATCCCAAGAGGAGAATGGAGGAGAAGGGATTGCGGCGTGGCCATCCCCCCTGGGGGGTGATTTCTCGCTTTCTGTCTCTCTGTCTCTGTCTGGCAAAAACCCCCCCAAAAAAAAAAAAAAAAAGCAACTTCATAATTCGAGCTCCAGACCTGCTGCCTGAAAAACACTCCAGGTTGGGGCCAGCAGAAGGCATAGTGGGTTGGTCAGTCCCTGGACTCCCACATAGTTGACTGCAGTTTGAGTCCTGGACCCAGTGGCTTGAAACTCATGCTGGGTGCATGTGCGTGTGTGCTCAAGGTCCTGGGAACAGAAGAGAGAGGAGAGAGGAGATTGTGGCCTGGCCATCACCCCAAGGAGTGATTTCTCATTTTCTGTCTCTACAGCGAGCATATGCCCTATACCAAAAATCTCTCTCATTTTTTAAAATTATTTTTACTTTATTTAACTAATTTGACCAGAGAGGGACAAAGAGAAAGTGAGAAAGCAAGCCACCAGGTCCAGGACTCGAACCGTAGTCAGCCATGTGGGAGTCCAGCACCCCTAACTCATCCTACCTGCCAGACTCTCAAAAAGCTCTCTCTCTCTCTTTTTTTAAAATTCATTTATTTTTAATTTGACCAGAGAAAGAGTGAAAGTGAGAAAGCAAGCCGCCAGGTCCGGGACTTGAACGGTGGTAAGAGGAGTCCACCGTCCTTAACCACCTCCGCACCTATTTTAGGTTTTTATCTTAGGATGTATGAGAAAGAGAGACAGAGACAGAGAGAAATCATTCTTCAGGGGAAAGGCCCCCCCGCCATCCCTTCTCCGGAGTTTGGACACGCATAGGAGACAGGGATCGGGGTTTGAACTAAGATCAACCATGTGTGAAGCCGGCGCCTTAACCTCCAAACTTTTTTTTTGTTTTAAGATTCATTTACTTAATTCCATGTTATTGTTATCTTTTTTTTTTGACCACCAGAGAAGAAAGGGAAAGTGAGAAAGCAAGCCACCAGGTCCGGGACTTGAACCATGGTCTGCCAAGTGGGAATCCAGCACCCTTAACCACCACACCGCCTGGGCCCCAGTCTCCATACTATTTACAGATCCCTAAAATTCCCGTTTCTGACACTTTCCCCTTATCCCGCACCCCAACGTCTGGGAACATAGTCCAGTTCTGCAGAAATAAACTCGAGCTGAGATACTTCCGGCGGAAGTAGCTGGGCGTGGGAAAACCCCAGACCTTTTTCCGTAAACGTCCCTCAAGGGCGCACCTAGGCGACGCGTGGGGGCGTGGCTAGGCATCCCCACGCGATTGGCCAGCAGCTCTCCCAGCCTGCGCATACGGCGCTTCCGGGTTCTCTCCGCAATCGCATGGCCTTTTGGGAGTTGTAGTTCCAACTCTGGGGCAAAGGTCTGCGGTCGGGATCAGGTTCGCAGGAGGTCGTAGGTCGTCCCCTGCTTTTGGCGCTGCGCTGGGGAGATGGAGTCAGGGTCCGGGACCGAGTCGGCACCGTTGGCCGGGCTGGCCTGGTCATCGGCTTCGGCACCCCCTCCACGGGGATTCAGTGCGGTGAGTGGCGTCGGAGAGGGCGCGGGGGTGGCGTGGGAGTCGAGGCTCCCGCAGCCAGGTAGGAGTTCGCCACTGACCCAAGTCCTCGTACTAGATCTCCTGCACCGTCGAGGGGACCCCCGCCAGCTTCGGCACGAG